TGACACAAAAGAGATTCCCCAAAAACGTTGCTTGGGACATAATCGAAATAAGAATACAGGAAATCATACCAGCTGTAGCTGAGATGCTCTTTTGTCTTTTCTCTACCCTCTGCCTTGTTACAATACACATCACTTTAAATGCTGATACCACCAGATTATGATGACCCAGAACTACCATCCTGTATGTGCTCCTTCTTTGCCATTGGCATCCTTCTAACAACATACAGCAACTTATTCTTAGGTACATACATGCCTTCCCTAAAGTACCAAGTTAAACATTTCACTTCTGGGCCTTCCTTTTCCTTTTCTCCTGAACCTGTAACAGCGAAAATACTAAGAGCACTTGCTAGAAATCAGATGAGATTCCTGTACCTGTGTCAGAGCAACCTAGAAACATTACTTAGATTGCTATCTAATGTCCTGAAAACCATTTACAAACACAGAAAGATTTTCAAATGACCAAATTCTTCTCTCCAGTGGAAGACCTGAAAACTTCCAAATATTGTTTGATATGTAGAAAGCATATTGACGACTACCCTCACCTTCAGGAATATTTTCTTAAAGTCCAACATGAATAGTGCAGTCAAAGGTCACACTGACATCTTCTTGTCTCCATAATGGACAAAAAGAACACATTATTCCTTTCTGCTATTCAGAATCTTTTTACCTATCTAAAAATTACTAACACACACCCACACAGCCTTTTATTCTTCACACACACTCTTGTTTGTCATATATTTAAAGCATCTAATGATTTTTGTTTGCTTTTGGACTGTCCAGCTGGTCAACATCTTTCTTAAGATGTTATGACTAGTACTGGAAAGAGGTCTCACCATCTCTGAGAACTGAAGATTAGTTACTTCCTGTGCCTCAAAGGCTATATCCCTCTTTACAGTTCCCTGACTGTCCTTTTACAACATGGCACTGTTGGCCTATATTAAATATGGAAGTTTGTTTTCAAGTTAAGATCTCTCACAAGAGACAAGCCCACTCAAGGAGAGAGTAAAATCTGCCCAAAACAGAATTATTGAAGATTTTATTAGTTACTGCTGCCAGTGGTATCGAATAGAACTAAATGAATATGCAGCAAAGGAGCAAATGAGATTCATCGTTGATGAATGCATCTCCGTAATGCATCATGCAGCGTTCAAGTTATCATGCATTACTGCATACTTGGAATAAATAATCTCAGCCATTCATACACATCACTGGATTTTAAGATAACTATAATCTGTTAGAAAGGGAAACAGTACATGTTTGCAGTGATGCTTGGTGAAAATGTTGCTTTATAGAGAGGTCAAAGTGGTAATATTAGCCTGTACGAAGAAAATTGAAAATAACAGAAAATTTACAGTAACCTTTTAAAAATCAATGATCCCATTCTATGCACTCAAACTTTGAACTTTCTATTAACTATTTTATTGTATTTTAAAAAAGTACAGAAAAATTATAACATTCAAAATACAGCAGATGTCAGCTATTTCTTGAGAAAGTACTTTCATATGAGGGCAGAGTAAGACGTTAGCTTTAAGAGGGAAATAGATGACTGCTTAAAGATAAAATACATGGGAAGGGCAAATCAACTGGCTTTATCTATATAAAAGAAGTAAAGAATCTCAACTCCCATACAGTTTCACCTATAAAGCAACTACCAAGAGATGCGAGAAATGGTAGATTTTTGGAAAAAAAAAAAGTATATATATATTATTTTTTTTTCCATTTTTAAATTCTTGCAATCTTCCTCCAAAATACTGACAACATAGATATCGGAACAGAGGTTTGGGCTTGTACAAGAATTCTAGCTTCATTACATTCTCTTTAAATAAAGGACAGCATGATCTCTCAGCAAAATGCTCCTTACCAGTGAAATAATAATGTGGAACTGAGGGGCTACAACACTGACATTTCATTGTACATTGCACAGCACACTTGGTTAAATGGCTGTGGTCTTAATCCCTTCTCCTGCTGACTTACTGATAAAGTCTCCTTGCAGAAGACAAGCTGATGGAGGCTTTGTGATGAGAGGCTTGACTTAAGTAGGATTGACTGAGCACAGTCTGATGCACTCAATTGCCCAGCATGCAGAGAAGCACTGCTGGCCAGAGTAGGAAGCAAGGTTTGATGATACTACGGTCTAACTCACAGGACACCAAGATCTAATAGCCCAGGCTTAATAAAATCACTCTTACCAATAAAGATGGAATGAATGTCCATAACCTTAGCAGAAGTCATCAGAGAAAAGTGTTGATTAATGATAAAACCATATTCCACTGAAACAGCACAGCTGCAGACCTTGTAAAAACTACTTATATTTTCGAACAAAAAAAATTGCTTTTACCTCAATGGCAATGTAGAAGGTGTGAAAGCTGTTGTGTACAGATTTATTCTACTTTACCACTGAAAGAATGCAGTTTATTGTGAAGTTAAAAATTCTACCTCAGGGCTTTAAATAAGGAGAATTAAACAGACTACAATGTAGTTCCAAGGTGGAGTTTTCTTCTTCTTATGTGGCACTGTGATGAAAAGTAATTAAGCTCTGGCAAATTTTCTTCTTAGATGTAATTTGGACTACTTATCTAGCCTCTCACATGGG